GTAACCCCACTTTTAGTTTAATCCCCAGCAGAGTCGTCAGTTCTGTAATACAGTGGGAGAACTGACTTTTGGTTTTTCATTTTACAAATGTTACGGATAGCAAGAGTCACCACCAAATTTTCTTTTATCCAATAAGGAAAGGGTGAAAATAACAATAAATACCTTAGATATTATCGAGTTCGGGGGGTAGGTTATGAAAAGGGAAGGTGTTAGCACCCTTTTCATCCGTAGTTATCTACGGGATCTTAATCGCTAGCTTACTTTGAAAATGCTTTGTGCTTGTGTGTTTGAAAAATATTTTGAAAAATGCCTAAGTGTGGAAAACTTTGTAATGATTTTCGTATCGTTGAGAACACATACAAAGTGTTTGTTTTGAAAATATTTTAGAAAAGAGTGTATGTGTGAAAAATGTTTTTGTTTGCGAGCAAGCAACTACCTACTCAAAAAGTCTTTGTTCTTTTCCTCCTTTCCCTTAGATAGTGTTATCCTACCATTAGTTAGTAGGAAGCCCTATCATTGGATGTTTGAGAGACAGGCGCGGGTCATCGTACAGTCATAAAGGCAACTCATAGAATGCTTTAGGAATTTCATCGTATAGGATTAAGATCGTTTATCGAGGCATCCTCGAAGGGTCATCGAAGGACTATGATCTTTTAACTGAAGGGTCTTTGCTAAAGCGCCCCACGTTCGAGGGACATGACTGTTTATATCTGAGGCAACAAGTGAGGGTCACCCTACAGGTGCGCGTGTACAAAGTGTGTTGTATTTCAGTTATTTTGTCTTGGATTTATGGTTATCTAGCATTTTCTTTTAGTATTTGCCATACAATCCTATTAATATAGCAGTTAGATATATACATGCATCCATACATAAGTGTCGAAAGTAAAAATGCAGAAAATAGAATCTATGCTATTACAATGATTCGGAGATGGGGAGTACAAACCATAAAACGGGGGAAAGAGTAAAGTAAACCCTAATTTTAAACTATTACATCCCTTAACAATTACATGATTATGGTAATGCGAAAATAAACGTGGAGATTATGAAAAAGGGAAAATATTGAAACCTAAAAAAATTTCTAAGTATTTAAGAAAATATTTTTGGTGTTTTTTTTGTTTAGAAAAATAATTTTAGTGATTAACCCTAATTCTAGTTAATTTATAAACTAGGTAATAAGATAAAATCAAAATATGATTAAATTAAATTAATTTTTATTTATCAAAAATTAAATTAATTAATCAAAAAAACTAAATCTAAATTTTTATGATTTTTTTGTGATTTTTCTGATTTAATTAATTATTTAAAAAAATATTAATTAACAAAACAAAATGGGCCTGAAATGTAAGTAAATGGGGGTGTGAAAAGTAAAAATTCCCAGGCCCAAATCAAGGAGCCCGGGCGCTTGCGTTGGATCTGATGAGGAAGGCTCCTTGAAGGTTCATGGTGGGGTGTGCATTTGAGGCGTTAGATCTGAAATCCTGAGATATGATGGTCAGGATATGAGGTCACATGATGAACGCGTATACCTAGCTTGAATTGAATCTGAAATAGAAAACATTGAAAAATAATATGCCAGAGGCAGGGATCAAACCCTTTTCCTAGCACACCAACGCCTTAACACACACACGCTTGTCGCTGGGGTGGCCAGTACATCCGGTGTATAAACTAAACGAAAATAACAAAAACAATGGAATGAAGTATACGATCGGAGAAGCGTCAGAGCCCTAGCTCCGATTGTTTTCTTCGGAAACCTACAAATGTCAACCTGCAAAAATCAAGTGTTAGTGATCCCAAAACACCACGTCCCCCCTAATTCAAACCTCCTGATTCCAAATCCTACCTTATCTTTGGAAAAAAACTCTTAGATCACGCGTTTTGAATCAAAGTACACTGATCATAGATAAAATGGCTCCTAGCCAACTAACATGCATGAGGCCATGTTGGGGATCTAAACCTGTTCAGACAACACTCGAGATCACATTAGAAACATCAAGTCGAATTAAAATATGGCATGATTAAAGATATGATTTTCAAAAAAATGTGAAATTGGCAAGGTGATGATATGCAATTTCATGCGGGCAGGATCATCATGATTGACCTAAACCTACCCTTTGATGCTCCAGGAGATGAATGGAATTGGAATCGTGGAAAGAGAAGGCTGGTAGCGGTTGTTGTGGAACTTAAGTTTTTTTTTTATAAAATGTGAGAGTTTTTCAAGTTGTTTCAATCAGGGATTCCGTGTCTTTTGCATCTGAATGTGTGGAGTATATATAAAGGATGGTATTAGGTCAGCATATATGGAAGGAATCATGTATAATCAAGACTTGATTTTATTCCAAAAATATATTTGAAAACTTGCTAAAACCATAGAGATTTCTTCCAAAAATAGATGACACGATTTTGGCATGTTTTGTGAGCTGTTTTTGGGTTGTATTGGGCCTTAAGAGACCACTCATGCGCCTGGTCCAATTATCTTGCACCTCTTTTAATTTATTTTGCATTTATTTGAATAACAACAAAAATAAATATAAATAAAATAATAATAAAATATAGGGAAAGGTATGAGTGATCTTAGGAGTCTTTCATAAGGTCATGGACATGTTTGAAAACCTAAAAGTTAGGTCACAAGTTCAAAATTCCAAGTTTGCCCATTTTGCATTTCATGCATTTCCTCAAAATTTCCTAACTTGTGAAACTCATAACTTGCTTAATTTTCATCTTTTGAAGGTGATATTTATCTTTTTGAAAAGCTAAATATGTCCTCTACAATTTATCTTTTGATCATTTTTTCATTTGGAGAATTTATCTTGGTGTAAGTTGCCTTGACAAAAAGTGTCTTTTTGTTGACTTTTGAAAATGACATGTAATGTATTAGCTCATATCTTTCAAATGAAGCACTTTTTGGAATTGAGCATAAATAAAAAGTTGTAGAGAATTGAATTTCCTCCAAAAATGGGTTTTGGTTGGGGAAAATTTGATGAAGCATGTGAAAGTTATACTTGGTCAAAGTTCAGTTGACTTCTCCTAAGGAAACTCTAATTTGACAATTTTTTACCTTTGATGGTTTGAGGATTTTCCTTGAGGAATCATGATCAACTCTTGATCAAATGATGAATATTACTTCAAAATATTAATGTTGACCAAAAAATCTTGAAGTTTGACTGTATGTTGACCATAGTTGACTTTTTACCCAATACAGTTGATTTTCAATCATCTGAGCCATTGACTAGGAAAACTTGTGATGTAGGACTTGAAACTTGACATGAGCACTAATGAAGACCTATGATGAACCATGAAAACAATTTGAGACATTTGAAACTCAAACTTCCTTGAGAAACTCAAAACCCTAGTTGTAGACCTATTGCTTAGGAGGAGCATTTTGACTGGTCAACCCTTGAGATTCTTGAGCATTTTGAAAACCCTTGAGAGAATGTCTTGAAGAAAAATGGGAGGGCAAATTTTGGGGTACATCACTAGCCCTTTAGAATCTTCCACATACTGGAGTAACAAACTGCTGAGATGATGTTCCAACATCTGGTTGAGCATCAATACCGTTCTCAATGAACATATCACTGATTTTGATCTTGAAGTTACTCATCACTAAAAGTAATTCTCTTAATAAAGTAACTCAGAAACATACTTTGTTCTCATTTAAGGAGTAGATAAAACCCTTTGAAGACTTTACAGATAACAGATTCATTTTATTATATGACACAAAAGAGAATCATATACACCTTTTTATCTACCAGGACTCCCACCTTGCATTGAACCAATCAGAACTATAGAATAGTTTTTAGAGCTTTTGCAACTATCTGATGTTGCACCTTCTGGTGTAACGTCTTGACTTCTTCTTTCTTTGAACACCAAGTAAGAGAATAAACAATTAAATACTCGTGAAATTCACAAATAACAATAGTTCTTAAATCCTCAGAGGAACTTCAAACATCTCATTAGAGACATAACATTCTTCCTTGATGATATATACCTTCAGACCTTGATCACATTGTCTTACCTCAAATTTTCCCGCCCTATTTCTAACAGTCAAATTATTTTTAAATTTGGGCTTTATAAGATTTTTAATTTATTTATACTAACATTTTAATATTAATTTATTTTGCTTATTTAAAAATATATAATAGTTTATTGTGAATTATTTATATTTTTTAAATAACAAATATCTGCTTGACCTTCATGTGTTTTCTAAGACCATTTTATTTTGAATAAATGAATTAACACAATTGGTAAGGAGATAAAGCTTGCAAGCATATGGTCACGAATTCGAGTCTTACTAATTTTATTTTCAAAGTTTCAATATTGGTGATGTTTTTATTTTAGACAATAATTAAATATGAGACCACCCTTTTTCAATTTTTATCTTTTCTTTTCTTTTAATTTATTTAGTTGTTTAAATTGTATGATGATATTATATGATAGTTATTTGATTTTGAAAATTATATTCATAAATTGCATGATTTTTTTATACAATATCAATTTCTTTCTTTAACATGAAAGCCCTTATTTATTAACTTTTTTTTTTTACACAGTACATGTAAACTTTTTATCCAAACTGGTACACCCACACAGCTAACCAATAATCACCTTGTACATAACTTTCCCATCCGAAAAAGCTTTTTGCAATAGTCAAGTTTGAGTCAAAACATTTTTTATACGTAAGGGTCTCACCCAATTGTTCAAACACTAAAATCCTATTTTCTATTCCATGTACACACAATTTTTCAAACACAACATATGGATTTTAGAACCAAAGTTCACTTCATGTTTTTTTAACGTGACATAATAATCCCAAGAACACTTCCATCACATTTAAATTATAATAGCACTTTAAATTCATAGAAAAAACATTAAAGTGAATCAAGATCAGAAAGAGAAAACAAAGTAAAAAAAACTCATAGTACAACCTGTACAAATTTTGTTCTTCTTTTTTGCAGGAAAAACATGAACAACAACATATAGATAGCAGCTCCAACTTCCATTCGACGATGTTCCGACGAACACCGTCAGGAAGCACACAACAACACCCAAATCGCTCACCCCAGAACGCGACCACCCCAACCGATAATAGACCTTTGCTCCGACCAACCTTGCAACACCGCCGAAAACGCCTAAAGCTTCTGTCGTCGATGCAACCCCGCGGATCCACTCTGACACATCACGGCGCACACATCAACAACCCCCAAATCTCGCTCAGTACTACTGCAACCGCTGTCATCATCACTCACTGTCGCGAATGCGCTGGCGTCGCAAAACCATACCACTGGCACAAGTCACGATTCCGACATCTTTGAAGCACAAACGCACCATCGAATCCTGACACCAACAACCACCGCACTACTGCGCCTCCGCGTTGGGATTTCCGTGCAGCCACCACCACCAGACGCTCACCGCCATGCCGCATACTCCCTCACCGCCGTCGACTCGTCCTAGGTATATTTCTCCCGTTGGGATTCATGGGTCTTAGTCGTTTTGTTTTGTGGTTACAGATTCCGTTTCAAGATTAAATAAGAGGGGGTGTCTTAAGAAAAGAAGAAAGGGTGATTTCTCTGTCACTATAAAATGATCGTGGATGAGACAAGAGAGACTAGGGGTCACGGTTCTCTCTTCAGATTATACAGGTTCCATAAAAAATAATTAGATTATGTATTTTCATACAAAATATTTAGTCAATAAAAACACAAAAAAATAACTGTTTAGTTGTTTTTAACCTTGTAAAAGCTTTCCGATTAAAATATCACAATCACTTGTACATAATTCATAAACATGTACTTAATCAAACACCTTTTTAATTTATATTTAATTCAAATATTTTATAAATAATAGAATAGTTGGATTTTACTTTCACCTTGTCCTCAAATAATTGATTGGTAATGTCTTACTAATTATTTACTCAAATCAAAATATCTAAAATTCACAAACAAATCAAATCAATTTCTTCGCCTAACGCGATTTAATTCCAATGAAGATCAACTCTTTTTCAAACAATCCAAACCTAATTAAAACAACTAACCAATCATCAAATTTTTTTTCCTACTAACATAATCAAACTCGAGATATTTTTTCAAAAAAGGATTGTTTGGTGTCTTTCTATATGAACACAAAAACTTCGACTACCATCACTCAATTTTCAAACTCAGGCAAGTTCTAAATCATTCGAAAGCAACTTAACGCAATCCTATAAAAAAAACATCAACCAAACACATTCGAACTACGAAGGACTCTGATTTCTTCTTAAGAAGATATATATGTACACGGTTCAAAAACCAAGGCGAGTTCACTAATCAAAAAACTAAAATTTCATTTGCTCTTATTATGCATGATAATATGATTAAATTAAAAATATCCCCATAAGTGTTATAGCTAAAAAGGATCCCCTTAAGTACAAGGAAGATAAAAGGATGCTTAACACCTTCCCTTTATCTAATTAACTCGTGAATCCAGTAATCTCTGAAATAATTAGGATTTTTCGTTCCTTTTCCGTCCTTAAAATAAAATGTAGTGGTGTCGACTCTCTTATTTTTTGCCGGTTACGATACGTGCAACTGACTTATGTTTATCATAATAGTCATCAGTCCTCTAGTAATAAAAAACCAATTACCAAAACTTAGAGAATCCATCATGAATTCTTTAGTTATCTAATATCCTTAAAACTTCCCTTTTAGCATCATCCACAAAGTAACACTGATTAGAATGTGACTTAAACAAACCACCAGAACCACTTTTACTGTAGTACATCGTCTGGAACTATTAGTGTCGAAATACCAATCTTCTTAGTTGGAGATTTAAGAAAGGTATGAGAGATAAGAAAATTGTCACCTTCCCCGAGTATTAACCGCTGCTTGGTTAAACAAAATGAACTTTACCTTGAGAGAGTAACCAAAACTGTTAAGATCAATTTTTCACATAAGAGATATCTTCAGTGCAAGTATATGCCTTTAGCATGAGTAATCAAATGTCTAGCATAATGTTACGACATCCTTGACTCAACTTGTCTTTTGATGAAACATCATTTTGTTACTTTGAGTTTTCCCTTTGCCTATCATAGCTTGAAAACCCAAACACTTCCAACAATCTTTCCACTTGAGGAAACTTCTTCAACATAACTGAACTATCCTTACTGACTTGATCCTTGATATCAAGTTTTTAGGATTGATAGAGTCACTTCACCTTGCAAGTTATAGATGGTAGGCACTCCTTCATTCTCTTAAGACATGATATTAGAAATAAATCACCTTGTACTTCTTCATGGTTGATAACACCTTTTATTCTAGATACACAGATCTTTGAATAAAACCATCCAGCATATCAAGAAATAATTCTTCAACAAAAATATATCTTCCAATCAAACCAGATATAGAAAACCCATACAGTTTCTCCTTGAGAAAGGTAGGGAAATTTGTTCCACAAGAAATCCAAGGCCTTCACACTCATATTATATAATGTTTGACATTAATTGGATTTGATTCCAGCTCTAACGTGTCTTGAGCATCATAGACTTGTTGATGTTAGTACAAATGTTCTCAACATTTATTCTATTCTTCTCAAAAACTGATTGATTACCTTTGAAGAAACACCATAGCAATAAGAAAACATTTATTAGAGACCAGAAAACGAGCTCATGTAGAGTTGAAAGAAAAAATAAATTGCTCTTGTCTTTCTTCAATGGCTTGTCACTTTCATGTCAGTCCTTTAGAGAAGAGACTTAATAATCTTCTTCTTGACCAACCTACCATCTAAAAACTTTTCTTTCAAACACACTTAGATGTGCATTTATGAGTGGAATTAATAAATTTCCCAAGTACCTTTGACCGCAATAAAAGTGATGTACAGTTTGGAAAAAAACACTTATCAATTCCAAAGATTATGGTATTGATAACTTCAAATTCATAGAGACCCAACACATGTTTTTTCTCTGTCTTCTAAAATATCAGGATTCTTCAAATCTGATAAACTTCACAGTTCTACAGTCCACTGGTTACCTGAATGATATCACTCTAGCTTTCCAAAAGACACATAGTACCAGAAATATACCTCCCTAAAACTCACCTAATAGACCAGGGCGCCTGCTCTGATACCAATTGAAATTCTGGTATAGGTAACACACATACATCCTAACATCAAAATGATGTTAAGACACATGTTACAACATCTGGTAGCAGACCAAATCAAGGAGGCTATAAGTGATATAGAAATAAGAACTGTAGAATGATAAATAACACATAAAGTTGTTAACCCAGTTCGGTGCAACATCACCTACTCTGGGGGCTACCAAGCCAGGAAGGAAGTCCATTATCAGTAGTATTAGTTAGAAGCTAAACTCCTTCGTTTACAACTTCTCGCCTAATCCATATCCAATGCTACTTCTACATAGAAACCTCCTAGATATGATAAATCACCATCTCACTTCCAATCACTGCAATGATATCTAACAATCCCAATCTCAGTGACTGTAACAATTACAACCCAATTTAGAAGATTACACTTCAAATTACAAAAACTCAAACTCTTGCTTAAAAGCTTCAAGTGAGAATCATAACTTGACTAAATGTCAAGCAACAATCATTCGACCACATGATATCAAGAGATACAGACATACAACCCACACAAGAGACTCTCAAAACCTAAGACTTATACTTCCCTTAATTTTACAATTGTTGAAAAACTTAAATTACATTAGGTTAGGATTCCCCTTTAAATACAACTCTGCAGTCCATGGGCTTCGATATTCTGAGTCCAGAAGTTTCTTGATCCATAAGTTGAGTGATGCACCAATTATGTAGAAAATCTCCTTAAATCTTGGAACAATCAATACAGAGTTTCCTAAATTATCTCAAGACCCAATTTAGTAACCAATGCACAGCCGGAGATATAAAACTTGTTCCAAAACAAATCTTGTTAACCTGTGAAATAAAATGAGATATATATAAAAGAAATATCACAAAATCAAATTAAATTTGTCATGATTTAAAACATCATTGCCTGTTGTACTATAATACCAGATCAAGATGTCATGACATCTGCCTTCGACATCTTACTGAAAAACACATAACAGTAAAATTGTTATTATAGTTGATAAAGATACTGCAATATATTAATCAACATCATTAGAACCATGTTTTAGCAAAATTATGTCAACACCAAAACCATGGAACTAACACTGGTTATCTCGACGATCTTCCAAATGAGCCTGTTGAACCTCTTGTCAGAAAGAAGAGGAAAATGTCTAAGAGTATTGGCGACGGTCCTTCTGGTTTTGCTAAGAAGGCAAAGGTTATTTCTCCTGAGAGAAGACCTCTGGAGTCTATTCCATAAGGTGTTGAAGGTTCTGTGATCTCTAAGAAAACTGATGTTATTCCTTCTTAGAATTCTCCACCAAGTAAGTTCACAACTTTTGAGACTTGTTTACCTTTCTTTCTTCATCCAAATCAGTAGTCATCCCCATCTTCCTCTCAATCCACACTTTATCAAATCATTCGGTTTGGAGTACCTCCACTTGAACCTACCCAAAATCAACCTTTTATTTCTAAAATTATACCACCTAATATCCTACCCTTCATAACTACTATAAATTCACCCACCCAACCACAAATTCCTAAACCACTCTTAACCCGAATCAGAAAACCACATACCCAACCCCTCTTATTAAACATTTACCCTCATCTTCCATTCATACTTCCTTTTGAATTAATATCCCATAAATTAATTCTTTTCTTGAAGACCCTCCCTCACCAAAAGACCCTTCTTCGCCAGTCCCAACCAATGTAATCAATATTCCAATTATTGATACTGAACTAGATTACAATCTGAACCATACCTCATCTTCTGATTCCTCAGAAGATGTTATCTCTATCTCATCATATTCCAAAGATAAGATTTTGATAAATGCCTATGACACCCAACCTAACCATTACGACCTAGCCTTTCTTTGAACCAATATTATTCCACCACCCAAACCCTATTTGGATGAATCAATGGTACAATTTGAGAAAGAGGTAAATAAACGTCTGAACTCTTTTAAGCAAGTTTGCACATATTTTGTAAACCATGTTGAGAGTGACACAATCTAGACTGGATTTAGAAGATAGTTTAACTCTTGCTCTTTGGAGTTAAAGGAACATTATTTCAAGGATGCCAAGAAAATTTTTCATTCTAGGTTACTTGGTATCATGAACCAGATTCTCCAGAATTATGAACAACTTCTTCTGCATGGTCTTGAATCTGAAGTAATTTTGAGTGAATCATTTGATCCTCAGCCAGAGATTCTAGTTGAAGAAGCTTCTACTTCTGGACA